GCCGCTGCACTTCCCAAGCGGCGCACTGCAGCAGTGCGCCACCGGGCCGGCCCCGGGAGCTGGTTTTAATATTCTCTCTCCTTTGGGGGATGCTTTAAGTTTTCCAACATCTTCCTCTCTAGTGTGCTGAGCTAGTGAGGTGCCAAGAAATCTGACTTTTTCCCTTCGTTTCCCTGCAGTGCTCCAAGAGCTGCCAGGGTGGCTTCCGGGTCCGGGAAGTGCGGTGTCTGTCAGATGACATGACTCTAAGTAATCTCTGTGACCCTCAGCTGAAACCAGAAGAGAGAGAATCTTGTAACCCTCAGGACTGTGTCCCTGAAGTTGGTAAGTAGGGATTCTGATCTTGGAGAAGAGATTCTTCTTTCTTAAGCTCCGTCAAATTCTCTGATGTGAAAATGCCAAACCCATCTGGGTCTCTCTGTGACCTTCTGCACAGTCATGGAGTTCAGAGGGTCAAAGTACTTTCAGCATTAGAAGCTTTGTAGTTTAGGATGACTGTGCATAACATGAGTGGCTATCCAAGCCACCCACTGAAAGACAAACTTCAATGTGAATTGATTAAAATGGTAATTCATTCGAATGTTTGGTTCTATCATCCTTAAGGTCAGAGTAGTAAATTTTCATCTTTAATGGTATGTGCAAAATGGTGTAGACTGGACCATGAGAGGAGACACTGGGACCTCAGCAACAGGTGGCCAGAGAAGGAGGAAGAGGAGAAAGCCACGAACTGGTAGAGACAGTGATGGAGAGTGTAACCCGATGCCTGAGGCGCATAGCACAGGCTCAACATCCAGAGAGACTCAGTCACTAGACTCGAGGAGGGGGAGATGACAGCAGGAAGATCTAGGCTGCACAGAGATTGGAGTCCTGCAAGGAACAGCAGCATTGCAATTCAGAAGACCCCAACCTGCACCCTTGAAATAGGGTCCAGTTCCCTGGAGGAAGGCATTGGTGAGAGGTAGAGAGGTCAGGCCCTCTCATGGGCTGCAGTTCATGAGGAAGGGCCCCAATCCCAGCAAGGGAACTGAAGTAGGCAGAAAACCAAACAAGGTGGCTTGCACATGGATTGGGCAAAGAAAAGAGCTATTGGGGGTGAAGTTGCATCCTCAGGCATATGGGATGCTGCCAAACCCCACCCCAAGTCTGCTCAGAGTCTACCAGGGTTGGTTGGGACCAGCTCCAGAGTAGAAGTGTGCTGAGCCTCTTTATTAGGATTCTTCATGGTCTCCTAGGAACCTATTTCACTCTCCTCTTTACAGTAATATCAAAGGCAGTGCATTAACATATCACTAGGCTGTCACACGTGGATGCCTCTTGCCACAGGCCTAACTGAAGGTTTTAATATAGTGACCTAACATCCTTCTTATCATAGGAAAGATGTGCCAGTTACAGAATAGATGCTTTATAATCAAGAGCTTCCTATGTACCAGCAGTGTCCAGTGAGAAATGTTACGGGGATGACCATTCCCAGTGCAACAAAAGAAACATAAATTCCAAACAAAGAAAATTAACAAGGAGTGTATAAGGCCAATATAGAAAAATAAACAAATAAAAATTAAAATAAGTAAACCTTGCTATATAGATCATCAAAGGAAATGTGAATGGATAGGCAAATTAACACATTCCTGGATGGGAAGACTCAATACTGTGAAGATGATAAAAGAAGGTGGCTGAGGGGAGCTGTATGTACTATATATTTGAACATATTATAATGCTACAGAAACTAAAACTGTATGGTACTGATACAGGCAGAGACAGACATATCGATATTACAATACAGAATTCTGAAACAGACTCCTTTATATAAGGAATGTTAAGAATGATAAAGGTCAAAGGTTAAGTATGTGGTGAAAGGAGAGACTTCCATCATATTGAGACCATAGAAGATCCACTTAAAAAAAAAAAAAAAACTTAAATCTTTCATTATGCCATATACCAATAATATAAATGCCTAATGGATTAAAGATCTGAAAAATAGAAACCACTCTGTAAAGGGCTAGGAAAAATATCTTTTATCTTGGAGTTAGTTAAAGCTACCATAAGCTAGACCCAAAACCCAGAGGCTTTATTGCTGGATGTGAGAATATAAATTAAAATGTTTTTCTCTGTTAAGGACATCATAACCCAAGTTGGAAGGAAGAGAGGGAGGGAGGAAAAGAGAGGGAGAGGAAGAAGATAGGAAAGATTGTGAGAAAATATTTGAAACACACTTTGTGAGAATGTGTTACAATCAATAAAAGAAGAAAATGTCCAGCCAGGAGGCCCAGAAATAAATAGTGATGTAATTACCACGGCTGGTTCATGCACACAAACGTGTTCACTTGCACTGGCAGCACCACACAGTTGAAACCTAGTTGGATTACAAACGGTTACTTAAATTGTTTTTTTAAAAGGTTACATTTAACACAACATTGCAAAGTTGTATACATCAAGTTACCTGATTGTCTCAAGAAATATAAATAAATGTAGTGGAAATTGCCAGGTCCTTGGAGTTGATTGTATAATTTTCAAAGCTAGGAATGATTGGCATAACAAATTTCTGTGTTTCGAAGGGTTGTCACACATTTGTCAAAGGTTTCTAATGAGTATGATGTGATAGAAATTTTTTTACCACTGTTTTTTTATTTTTTATTATTAGCATATTCATTATTACAAACTGTAATTTTTCTGTATGCCCTTTACCCCGCCTATCACTCCCCAAACCCCTTCCCTCCCTCACCACTCTGTTTTTATCCTCTCCATTTGTCTGTGTTGTCTCCTAAAAGAGGAATAATTGTTTAGCTTCCAGTTATATAAAGTCCAACTAAGGACAAAAGAGAAACTTTGAGATTAACAAAATGCAAAACGTAGGGAAAACTTTGGTATTCTTGATATGTCTCAAAATTATACTGTCAAAGCTAAAATTACTAAAAATGTCCAGACCACAAGCCAGAGTTAGGAAATGCAGCGTATATCTTGTGTGGTTTCTGACAGCAAGAATCTGTATAGACTCTGAAGGTAAAGGCGGCTCAGGGGCACATTTTGATTACAATGCTGAAGAAGAAAATAGTAAATACATGGGTAAATGTATGCTGTTGTCAGCTTGTTGAAACCTGCAGAAATTATTATAATCTTTCATTTTATCCCAGAGAACCATTACTAAATCATCTTACAATTGATAGCATCTTAGAATCAAATAAATGTCATTCAAGTAGACAAAGAACTAAAAATCCCTTATACAGAGCTCACTCAAATTAATTTAAAAAAAGAAAAGAAAGACAAGAGATCCAGTTTCATAAAGGGTAAAGGATATGAGCAAATCTACCAGCAGAGGTGTAAGAAATGCTCAAGCTACTAGTAATCAGAAATGCAAATTTAAAAAATAATGGGAGTCCATGTTTTTCTATAAGATTGGCAAACTTTAAAAATTAGCCAATCATCAGTGTTGGCAAAATTGTAGGGAAAAGATCAAACTCCAACTTGTAACTGGGTGTAATCTTTTTGGAGAGAACATTATCAATATCTATCAAGATACAAAGTATTCATTATCTTTGATTTAATAATTCCACTTCTAGGAAGTTATACTAAAGATATACTCTCAAAAAATGTACGGATACACACACACACACACACACAAAAAAAAAATAGGGCTCATTAAATTGTGTAGAATTAATTTTTAAAAATGAACTGTGTAGGGCCGGCCCGGTGGCGCACTGGAGAGTGCGCCGCTTGGGAGTGT